TGGCAGCAGCTCCTGAGACAGTGCCTGTCAGGATGCTGATTTAACTGCATTTAAAACCATATATACACCAGTGTTTCTTTGCCCAGCTGACGCCTGGTGTTCCTTTCTTCCTGAGGAATCTTTTGAAGGGACAGAATTTCCACCAGCTCCTTTGTCAGCTGGAGACATAGGACACAAAGCTAATTCAAAGTGCTGTACTGGCTAAAAGGAATTTCCCAGTAGGAGGAGTTCTACTCCACAGCACAGCTTCTGCTTTTGTGTCCAGCTCTGGGACCCCACTCTCTTCCCTGTGCTCCAGTGCTTCAGCTCAGGAGCCAGGGCTGTGCTACGTCTCTGGTAATTGTCTCATTCTGTGTAATTAAACGTTCCCAGCTCTAAGGCAATGGGTTGTGCATTCAAAGTCAATGTTTTTGTTTTCACAGTTAGTGTGGAAGATAAACATATTCTAGTACATCAGCCACCAGGTTGTCTTCTATAGCATGACCTCAATTAAAAATTAGTTCAAGGATAAAGAAATTGCTGGGATTCAAACCAGTAATCTTGCCCAAAGCTAGCATTTGGTCTCTGTAAGGAAAGAATTCTATTATTTCTCTGTCTGTGTTGTACCTTTGTGCCTTGTTCTTCAGGTATCCCAGGCTCCACTCTCAAACCTTTGAAAATCCAGAGGAAACCCTCCAGATAGACACTGCTATGAGCAGTAGAAGATTCTGTCATCCACGTGTCTGGGAATGGTTTCCTTGATTTGATTTTTAGATAGCATATCAATAATGCACAGATACTCCCAGTACCTGTCCCTGAGTTACGTGCGGGTACTGAAGCAACATGTAACAGAAGCCCCTCAAAACCACGGAAACCTCTTAGTATTATCGTTTCTTGGCGTAATAACGTGGTGGATATTGATCTAGTCACTGCACAGCAGTGGATGTGAATTATCTTCCCAGAAAGCTGAGATTCCTTTTCAGCTTTTGGATTGTTTGAGGAATTCAAAGGATACTTTGTGAAGGAATAGTTGTCAGAAAAGAAAAAAAAACTGTTATAATTTTAGGGATGAACAGGGAGGAAAGGGGCACAGGAGCTGCCTCTGCATTCCCCTGCCATGCTCTGCTGCTCCTTCTACCTTTCTGCTTTGTGGTTTAGCCATTGAGGCTGGAACAGGCTTCACCACACATAGTACTTTGCAGGTTGGACACAACAGAACTAACATGGGTGTCCAGTGCCAAGTGGGGCGAGTGGCTGTGCTTGGGGGTAATTTCTTGGCTGGGACTAAGTTCACCAATGCTCGTCATCCCTGAGGATGATTTATTTCCTTTCATCCTTCCAGCAGGGAGTACAAATGCAAAACTTTCAGCTCAGAGGTATTTTTCCAAATAAAATTATCTTCAGCTGTGGTCATCGGTGATTTGGGAGCCTCTGCCAGTGAGATTTTGCCTTGAGCTGATTGCCTTGGCTGAGCAGCTGAAGAGCAGCTGGAAGCTGGCCAGAAATGGCTTTTGCTTTTTGCTTTTAAAACAAAAAGAAATAAGACAACCAAACCAGCATGCTTTTGGATGAGAACAGAAGGAAGGGGGAGGTTTTTTGTGATTATTCTGCCTGAGAAGGAAGACTTCCCTTCGTGGGGGACTGACTCTGGGAAGTGAAGGCAGAAGGTGGTTGCTGAAATGAAAGGAGGGTTTCCCCCACGGCTGAGCTGGCCTGGAGCGCTGCAGGAACTGTCTGTTCCTTCACACCAGTGTCAGCCAGCCCTTTGCTGGCTGCCTGTGCCCCCACACCTGCCAGAACTGTTTCAGTTTTATTTCAGTTTTATGTTTCTGCTCCTGTGAAAAATGCCCTCATGGAGCAGGCTAATGGAACAAACGTTGTTTTACTCAGTTATTTCCATGGTGGGTAGCAGAGAAAGCTGCCCCGCTGCTCCAGCCATTGGGACAGAGGGCTGCAGCACCTTATGTGCCATTGCCACTCTCTGGATAATATGTACACTTCCACCATCATGTAGTTTTTCTTCTTCATTTTTCATAAGCATTGGCACTAGATTAATGGCTAAGCCATGGAAGAAATGTAACGCCATGCCAGTCTGATTTATGGACCACTTAGTGCTGATGAAGCTTCAAACAAGAGTCAGGCAGATGTTGCAGTTGCATTTTTCTTTATCAAAACTATCGGCTTTTTGTGTTTAACTGCTTGTTGCACCATCTCCTGCTCACCCTCCAGCAGCAGTGGAGCCCGTTCCTCCACCACACTGAGGAGGCAGGTGAGGTGCCCTGACGTGGCAGGAGGAGCCAAGGAGCCTTGCCCAGGTCAGGGACAGATGGCAGTGCCTTCGACTCAGCTGCGTGGGAAGGGAAACAGCTCTGCTGAGACTCTGGGCACTGGAATGATGGGCTGCTTTCCAAAAGGCACGTTCTCAGAGCCATCTGCAGCCCAGTCCAGGGCTCCCCTCCCTGCCACCCCAGTAAAGAGCTTCTGCTGTGGCTTGTCCACTGTCCTGGCACCATTCCCACGTGGAAGTTACATTTGTAATTTTTCTTTTAGTCTTTCACATCTCTCTTGCTCTCCTGGTAGGTCACCACAAATAGTGATTCACTGCTGATTTTAAGTTTTCCAAAACACACCTATTCTCTTCATTTTTCATCAGAACATTTCAGTTCGCCAAATAGATTGGCATTCATGAGATTTGTCATTCTGAGGTCAACTTTTAGATGTAGACATAAGGAACAAACCTGTTAGGTTTGTGTTTATTTTATATGTTTTTATATATAAAAACTATACATTTCAGTGCCGATTCACTGCTGAGGTCCACTTGCTTGTGCTGCAGTGAAGTCAGGAAGACCTGACAAACGGGCACCATCAGGCTGTGAAAAACACAGCTATCTGAGAGGAAGGGAGAAGCACCTGCAGAACTGCCACACTGCCCTATGCTGTGGTGGCAGCATGTCCTTGCTCCCTTCTTTGAAACTTCTCTGAGAGCAAGAGGCATCTTTACATGAAATCTCTGAAGCATATTACTTTTTATTACTTCATCATCTAGATCACTAATTACATTAAATTAGCTGATGGAGACTATTTGGGTGTATAGGTAATCATTTTTATTACTTGAACCTTTTCTGAATTATGCACGAGGACTGTGATGTTTCAGATCTCCTCACTGTGGAAAGAGAGGATGTGATGGTTTCCTGTGTCCTCTGGCTGTCTCTCATCTGGGGCAGGTGTGTCCTGGAAAATGGAACGTTTTGAACACTTCACAATTAAACATAAAAGATTCAGTTGTTTGTCTCCAGAAGAATCTTGGGAATAGAAGAGCCAACAGTTTTCTTTGCTTTAGCACTTTCCAAAACTGCTCTGAAATAAATTGTTAGGTGTTCCTTACAAGGTTTCCTTGCTGCCTCCTTGTGCAACACAATTCTTTTAGAACAGGCTGCAAGAATTTGATACTATATTTTCACAGAATCTTCACTGAGAATCCCCTGGTTGCAGTTCTATCCATAGAGGGGAAAAATGCAATTTCCTGTTTGCATGTCTTCCTAACTTAAAAGAGCTTCTCTTCCAGATGTTTCTGGTTATCGAGGTCACACTTCAGGAGGCTGCTCTGCTTGTCATGTTGCTGTACACAGGCACCAGTGGCCTCTCCACTGCTAGCACCTTCTTAGCCAGCCTGGAGGAGCTGGGAGATGTGACCAGCCACCCCCAATCTGAGAGATGTGCAGGATGCTCCCTGTGTGTGGGGGGCACACGGGGGTGCATGGTCACCCTGCAGCTGGAGGTGGTGAGTGCTGCCCTGCTCCCGCCCTTTGCTGCTCCAGGTGCAGCTCCTGACATGCTGGGCCTCAGTGCTGTGCTTTGCCCATCAGAAGTTCCCTTCCGTAGGTCTCCTTGGTGTAGGTGTCCGTGTATTGCTCCAGCCCTCCCCTGGTTTCATAAACAAGTGCTCCTATTAGCACAACCTTTGCACGTGAATGATATGTTGTGTTCCCTCTACCCCTTGGAACAGGGCTCTAACAACATTAATGAAACATTAGAGTTTTAATTACACCATTATCCTATTTATTTTTATAAATAATTCCAAAGCAGTCATTAAAGTTTGCGAACTTAGGAGTAAATGACTTAAGGGAAAGAAATCAGCTCCTCAATCTTGTTATTATCTATTGTACAATCTCCCTGGGATGCTGCTGGGGAACTGGCGGAGTTGTTACTGTTGCTGTTGTTAAGATGATTCATTTGCTCGCAGGGTGGTAACACGGCTCGGTGGGAGGGCACCGCAGTGCGTCACAGCAGGGTTGCCTCCCCCTCGCAGCCCCTGGGAAGGTGTTCGGGGAGAGGAGAGCGTGGATCAGCCTGCGGGAGCTGGTGCCTCGCTGTCCTCCTGCAGCAGCTTTGCAAAGGGCTCTTGCAGTCCCCACCTTCTGCAGCTTGCTGGATTCATCGCAAAGCTGCAACATCTTCAAAAGACAAGGAATTCCGGGCTTGACTATGAAGAGGCCATCGTTGAGGCACTGTAATATTGTTTGTGAGCCTCCTCGGCTCTTCCCCGCCTCTTTCTGTCACTGTTTGGAGAGTGTGGCTGTTCCTGATGTTCTCAGGCTACTTTCTGTGTATTCAAAATAGCCCCGATGTGGACCAGAACTGATGGAAGCATTGGCTCATATGAACCAAAGGTCCCTTAAACCAAAACAAATTACCTGGTATTCATTGTAAGTGGTGTTTGCAAGACTCTTGCAAGTATTCGGTGTTGTAGAGTTTGGAAAAAAGGTTGAATTTGAGCATACAAGGGAAGCAGGAGAGTTGCAAGCAAAGAGCCCTCAGGATGGGGGAATCCATGTGCAAACTGTCATGTCTGTCTTTTGCCACCTCTTTGAAAGAACAGCTCTGATCTTGGGGAAATCCAGGACATACTGGGGTCTGATTATGATGCTTTCTATTACAGTTTTAATTAGGAATATAAATGCAGAGAGCTCTGGGCAGGGGAGAGGCCCACTGACATAACTCTTGCTCTGCTCTCCCTGCAGAACCCAGACATCGTGTTGGTGCACTACCTGAATGTCCCAGCCATCGAGGACTGCGGGAAACCATGTGGCCCCATCTTGTGTTCAATAAACACCGACAAGAAGGAATGGGCAAAGTGGACAAAAGAGGAACTCATTGGGCAGCTCAAACCAATGTGTGAGTACCTGGAGCCACCTTTGCTTCTTTGCTGTATATTTAGAGTACAGTGTCTCTCACAGCCCCCAACCATCTCTTGTCAAGGAGTCATTTGTCACCGTACAACTCGGCTTGTGCCTGCGTGCACTTTCTTCCTAATATGCAGTACTTCTGGGATGCATGGTGTGAAAGCTGCTTAGACTGTCCACAAAAGGGTCCCCTCTGCACACTGGGAAAAAATCGTACCTATGGTCCTGCACTTTTGAGGGCTGTTTGTAGGCATCTACTCACTTGCAAAGAGCCTGCTCAGTACTGGCAGGTGGATTCCCCTAAGGGCACTTCATGTTTGGATGGTCAGTGTCAGGTCCCAATGGGTTGCTGTAACTTACAGAAGGCCCCATGGAATGGAATGTTTTGGATGGGCATCGTTTCCTACAGTTCTGAACTTGGCAGTCTAAAGAGTCTGCTCAGGTGCCCAGAGTGATGGGGAAGTTTGCCCTCAAACAGGCAGTTCTTTGGACCTCTCAACATCTGCCTTGGTATATAATATTTTCTTTTGCATCACAGTTATATTGCATACCTTCCCCTGGAGAGCACATTCCAGTGTGCACACAAACAACTTTTTGCAATGAAAGATTAGACATAAAGTGGGTCTGTAAGCAAGAGAAAATTAACTGCAGGAGCCACAATACCATATCTGAGTCAACAAATACCAGGTCTGCTTCTGTCCCTGCCCTCTGCCCCTGCCTAGGTGCTGGTGTCATGCCCAGCTTCCTGTAATTGGAGGTCACAGGCACAGAGTGCATCCTGATGTGTCTCTGCCATCCATGAAAGATCAGTCTAATGCTGACCGCACCCTCAGTAATCTGAGTTTGCACCGCTCCTTTGTTGCATCCCGAGCTGTGCAGGCCCATGTATTTCTTTTCTACACAAAGCTGGAGGGCAGAAAGCAAGCAGAAGAGAATAAAGAAAATTATACATTTGCCCCTGGGACTGATAACCTTAGGCAGAAATCCAGGGTGTTGAAGGTGTAGCTGAGCCTGGACAAGTACCTTAACATTAAACAGGATAGGAAGCGGCAGCCTGTTAAAAAATCTGCAGTGCATCAAGAAAATTATGTGAAAACTACAACGAACTCACCGTAAATTTAATAACACTTGGCTCTTTTATGTCTCAGGAGGGAAGAGTGAAATTCTGCGCAATTATTCAGAGTATATATGCATGTACACGTCTCTGTTTATGGGTACATATCCTGGGAAACACATCCTTAGAAATGTAGCTACAATAAAAGCTTTGGATTAAAAAACAAGGAGGACATAGATAACTGTGTTTGGGGAACGCAGAGGGGCACCGCTCGCCAAGAAGCCATCAGATTTGGTTCCATTATGGGGTGTGCCATGAAGTTCTGGAGCCAAGAACGTTAGTTTCATCACATTTTTGCATTAATCATGTTCTTTCACAGACTTCACAGTTTGATTGCCTGATGTTTCCAAATTTCTCTGCCCTAAAGCAGATTTGTCAATGACTTAATCAAAGCGTTGTGCTTAGTGTCACTGGTGCAGCAACAGTCTTGCCCTTTTACCTGTTTTGTCTTGCAGTTCACATTTTATTCCTGTGGACTTGGAAGCTGTGGGAGGTTTTTGTTGATGCTTTTGTTTTCTTGGTTGCTGTTTCTCATAAGAATTTCACATTTAAGACAAGTTAGTGATGATACAGCCAGGGTTTGTGTGGAGGTCTGAGGACACTCTACATGTAGGGAGGTTCCCATTTCAGACCACTGATGTCATTCAGGATTAGGGAAGAGAAGCTGATACTAGTTTTGCCTTTGGGGAAAATGCTTCCTCCTGGTCAGAGGTTGGTGGCAGTGTCCAGCTCTTGACTCACTGAGAAGACGTGCTTGATTGTTCAAGTCCTATTCAGCCTGGACTGGAGTCAGGTGTTAGTTAAAGCTGTTGATCTCTGTCAGGTATTAAAGCTTTTCTATCAGAATCAAAGGTAGCAGATAGTCAGTGGTGTGGCAGCCAAAGCCTGGGAGCGTGTTCTCTTGGCCATGTGTGCCTGGAGAACTAAAAGTGATGTGGCAGATGGCTGGCAGGGTGAGCAGCATCAGTCTTAGAGTCCGAGCCAGATAAATACATCAAACTGGTTTTTGTGAAATGCAGAGAGACCCTGACTGGATGATCACGGAGCTTGTTTCTTGTATCTATTATTCACTCAGCTCCCTCTTCCTTCCCTGCCACATCATCCCAGAGTCTGTCCAGGCTTCAGCAAGTCTTCAGCAGGCATCAGGGACAGGCACTGGCTCCCAGTACCAGCCTCGTCACCTCCGTGAGCAGAGCAGGGCACTGAGGTCTGGGTGCCAGGAGGTGGCTTCTGCCCTGGTCCTGAAGGAGACTGCTGAACCCAGAGGGAGCTTCTTGGCTGGCTGCAGGGATGGTGTTTCCTCTTTCTGTGACTACTCGCACAGGTGGTTATGGATTAGAACCACCTTTCTGGAGTAGCCATACAGCTCTGAGAGCTTTGTGGAAACAGCATTAACTTGTTCTAACATAGCTGGTGTGTGAACTAATTAAGAGACTGAAATGACCCCAGCTGAACATCCATGAAAGGTAAATGCTGCAGATGCTCTGAGGATTTGAGGTTTTTTCAACACCTCCAGCTGAGTTGAGACTGTCAGTAATTAATCAGCCTGACTTCAGTTTTCATGGCTTTGGATTTTTGCTTTAGTTCTGATGTATTTGTCACCTGCCTTTGCACTGGGACATCCCTGATCTCCTGATTGTCCTCTCTGGACTATCACTGTCGGTTTGTCAGACCTCAGTTTGACAGTCCTCGAGACTGAAGCAGATGAGCCTGGAAGGGCTGCATACACATTCGTGACCTCCCACAGGATCATTACTCTCTCCTTCCAGGCTCATAGATGAGGCTTCTCATCTTGGAGGTGTCAGCAAAGGTCAGGGAGCGCAGGGAAGGCTGTGACACTTCCTCTGATGGCAGACCTGCAGTAATCCAACTGTTGGGAGCATCCCAGTTGGGTGTCTGAATCAAAAGATTTGTCGTGTGTGTTGCTTTGATATGGATGCAACCTTTGGGGACATTTATGCAAAGTGAATAGCTATAATACATGAAAATTCTGCAGGAATGTTGTCCGAAACACCTGTAAGTCATTTCAGGATGCCTGGTGTGAAGAATGGGCCTCTATTTGGCATTGCTTTCAATTTTCCCCCCTCTTGCATCCCATTATAGTCTTGCTTTGAGATTTCTCTGAACAGATTAGCAGATGTCCTTAGAGGCATCTGGTGGTAAAAGCAAATTCAGTGGCAGAATCCAACTCAGCAGAATTCTGTATATAAACTCCATATGATCAGCAAATTGTGGGCCAGCTCATGTTGGGGGTTTCTCCAAATCATCCCCTTTTGGCTCTCATCCTTCAGCTGGCAACGTATGAGTTACAAGCTCACAGCTGGTGCTACGTTGCAATCCTTTTTCCAGGTCCACTATAATTAAGAGCTATCTTCCTTTCAGAGAAAAAGTTTTTTCATTCCTCTGCTGCACAGAAACTGAGGGCTTCTGTTTGTGCCCCCTGCACGCAACCACAGCTGGAAAGTTTCACGTGGTGCCAGTCAGAGTCGATGCCTCTGGGCATGGGCCAATCTCGCCTCTTTCCAGAGTCCCCAGTTCTGGGGGGGGGGACACCAATCAGGGCCCCTGGAGGTGACCTGAACCTGCGTCCCCTTATTGTTGCCACTGGAGATGGCATCAGATGCCTGCAGCCCAGAGTGAAATTCAAATAGCAGCAATCAGCATTAATATGGTTTCAAGAATTGAGTTGTTTTATCTTGACTTGATTTTATATTCAATTTCAGTAATTGGGTTTAAGAGGGGGTTTATATTTAATCTTAAGAGATCAGTTGTACAAAAGTCTAAATGGGATGATTTTTACATTCCCCAAATGGTTTGTCAGAGCTCCAAAGTGCCCCTCAATGGGGTCAGCTTAGTTCAGCTGACCACATAAAAAGCAACATGGATTCTTTAAAAGACTTTGGTTTTAGTAATGCTGACATCCGGTTTTTACTGCAATAGGTTGAGTTTTTATTAAAAAGAGAACACAATAGTAGGTGCTAGATAGGCTTTTATATCCTACCAGCCACTTGGACTTCGAGTACCTCTGTTCACATTGTCTGCATGGCCAGTATGAGCCACCTGCTCATTTAGCCACCTGCTTGTCTTCTCTCATCTTCTCACCAACCCTCTAATTATTGCAGGTGTGTGGCTCTAAACAGGGGTCCCATGCAAGAATTGCAGTTCTCCTCTCCCTCCGAGATCTGCAGTGTCCTTCGTGTCCCCAGAGGAAGCTTGTTCCTGTGCCTTTATGGGCCACTCTGTAGGAAACGTGGTTTCCCTCATGGGCAAGTTTTACCTACTGTAGAAACTTCTCCGAAAGAACAAAATTAGGAATCACGATTCAGCTGGTGCATTTCAGCTGCATTTGGAGACACAACAGTGAAATAATCCCACTGAGTATTGACAACAGTCCAGGACGAACCAACCATTACCAGTAATGGAAATCAACTTGCGGAAACCTAAACCAAATAGTTTCCTGTCCCCCTAAAACTTAGATATTAAACCAGATGCAGCAATTGCCGAGCCTCTCTGGGGAGACTATGGGCACCCCAGCCTTTGTTTCCTGTTCTTCTGTAGTGTTTTATCTGCCCTCTTAGCACTTGGCTGTAGGCGCTGGCAGACTCAGTTCTAGAGCAGCCGCTGAGGGGGGTCCGCACCTCGCTGGCAGCACCACCGAGGTGTGGCAGCCCCGGGAAGGGCTGAAGGTCCCCTCCGTGCAGGCCACGCTTATGAGGACTTTTTTCCCCCGGAATGGCCGAGCAAGACTTACGCTGAAAAAAAAAAATACACCGGAGATATTAAAAACAAGTGACAAAATTAACGCTGGAGAAACCGAGAGGCCTCGCCGGGTCCCGTGAGGGGTCGCGCGGGCCGGGCCCGCCGCCTGTGCCTTATCCACTGGCGCCACCTGGCGGGCACCGCGCGCCGCTCGCGCTGCCCTTGGCAGAGGAGGAGGAGGAGGAGGAGGAGGAGGATGGCGATGGTGCCCTTGAGCCGCAGGAGGAGGATGGCGATGGTGCCCTTGAGCCGCAGGAGGAGGATGGCGATGGTGCCCTTGAGCCGCAGGAGGAGGAGGGCGATGGTGCCCTTGAGCCGCAGGAGGAGGATGGCGATGGTGCCCTTGAGCCGCAGGAGGAGGAGGGCGATGGTGCCCTTGAGCCGCAGGAGGAGGAGGGCGAGCACTGCACGGAAGGAACGGGAGAGCTGTGCGAGAGAGGTGGCTTCGGCTCTGCTTCTCCATGGGCGAGCAGCCTTGGACTTCAGGTGTCTGTAAATAGTGGTAGGAGTCCCACTCCAAGTAGCTTTAGAAGAGTCGTGTCCCGCTGGTCCCCTCCAAGGGATGTTGCACCGAGTGTACTGCCCACTCCCTGTGTGCATCCCTCTGCATCTGAGCAAACCTTCAAAGGGGAGGGCTCGCTTTGGAAGACAGACAGCCCTTTGAAGAACAACTGGAGGCAAAGCACCCGCATGAGTGCGTGCAAAGGCAATAGCATTGAGGGGGATGTCCTGAGGAAACGGCACCCATCCCCAGCAGTGAGACTCAGGGAACCTGTCCTTCACAACCAGTAATGAGTGAAAATGGGAGGCTGGAAAATCAAAGCTGAATGAGTGTGGGCATCTGAGTATGAAAGGATAAATCTAATGGAAATCTCTTTCAGCCAAACTGAGAAATCAGAGCAAGGCCTTTACTTCTGTCAACACCAATGCAGCAAAAATTGAAGGGACAAGGCTGCCATTTCCAATTGACCATTGCCATGGAAACACCTCTCAGTGTCAAGACCTGGTGGAGCAGGATGTGGGCAGCAAGTTGAGAATGGGCAGTTGGACAAAGGACCCGCTCAGCCTTCCAGCAGCACTTTGGGGATTTTTAAAAGCACTTTTTCTCAGTCAGGTGTGGCCAAGGGTAGGACTCTGAAACCTGGGTTTGCAGCGGGCCGTCAAGATACATCAAGAGGGAGAGGCAAACAGAAACCTAACCTTGATGATTCCAGATATTCCAGCTTTATCAGTCCAACTTACCTGTTTCATGTGGGAGATCTTGTTGTTACTCAAAAGACAAAAACTTGTCAAATTGGGGCAGAGAAGCAGCACACAGGGTGTAGGAAATAGCTTCATCATGTAGCGTACGTGTATATGTATGTGTAAGCTGTGTTGGGGTGGATGGTACAAAAGAACAAGATCTTTGGAACAGAAACAGGAAGCATAAAATGTTTGAAGTGGCAAAGAGAAACATCTAAGAGTATTCAGAAAGGGTGAAATGATCAGATTTAAATGTGGGAGGGTGCTTTAAAGACAAGTTTTGCTTACAGTGGAGAAACCACAGAGAGAGAAACAGTTTTAGCTGTTGCTTGTGTTGGGTCTAGAATGATGGTGAGACAGTGAGATAGGCTTGAGGTGATGGGGAGGAGGAAAATAACTGCAAGACAGGAGGACAGCAGAAGAAGGAGGCAGAAATAGCCAGGGGGTTGTAAGAAACCTGGACAATCCTATGTTTCTGTGTGCAAGCTTCTGAGCTGCCTTTTTGCTGGTAATCCAGATCATTTTTCATCCCTTTGCTCATGATGGTTGAAGTCTTGACAGCACTAATGAACAAGGAGCTGCTGGGCCACTATTTTTGTCCTGTTTTATTCAAAAGGGAAGAAGGAGAAGAATGGTGAGAGCCCATGCTCACAAAAAGAGGCTGGGGGCAGTTCTGCTGGGAGCAGCATTAGCTCTCTGAGTAGTAGACCTTCCTGCAGCCTCACTTCTCGCCTTTGAGCACCCAGTGAAACACCAGTAACTCTCCCTGGCTGCACTGCCTTCTGCTGCAGGCACTGCTGCACAGAGGGTGTGGTGGCAGGAGGAATGCATTGCTGCTGTAATGCAGCAGCTTTTAGATCCCTCCATGCTATTACTGAAAAGGAAAGTGTTGAAGCAGTTCAGAGCTTTAATTTTAAATTATCAGGAAGTGCAGTAGGAGTCTGAACAGGAATCCGGATTAAAATACTTCCCAGAATTTCTGCTAAGCTTCAATCTTTTTTTTTTCCTTTTGTATTCATACATTATGGCTATATTTAGTCAAACATAGCTCTGCAGCGGTTTCGGTTTTTGAACCACTAAAAACCAGGAAGAGTGTGTGTGTATGCTTTTTATTAACCTTCCTTTCATAATGCACTTTCTTCCCTATAGAAATCTCCTTTCCTGCTGATTCATTATGTGTCAGGAAGCCAAGCGTGACATGTTAAAAGCCATCTTGATAGTGTTTGGTATTCAGTACTAACAATTCACCAGGCACAGGAGTCTTTCTTTAAAAGGGGGAGGAAGAAATCTGCATATTGGATGTGCCAAGATAGTGGATAATTTGCATTAAGCATCCAGACATTCTTTTTTTGCAATCTGTCACCCTTCACTGCCTTTTTATTTTATAACCTTCATAGTATACAGGGAGCATAAGTACTAAAAAAAAAGTGACACCACGTGGACAGAAGCTGGAGCCGGAGCCCTTTAGGATCAGCTGGAGCAAGGCTAGAGAAAGACCTTTCCTCAGCAGCAATTGATCCTTGATGGGACTTTGCTATGCTGAAAATAATGGGCATGGTCCATCCGTTATGTCTTGGCTTCCAGCTCACAGCTTGATTCAGACTTAAGAACTATCATTGTGAATACACAAACCACGAGTCATGATTCGCTTCCCAGACTTGCCCCCATGATGTGTTGCTCATCCCAGGATTTCGCAGCAGTAGGGAGCAAACGCTGCCATCCTGCTGTAAAACAGACTCTCTGTACCCAACAACGCAATGCGAGCTCACTTCTTTAGCAAAGCATTTCTGAAGTAACCTCTGAAGAAATGACTTAATGCAAACTTTCTCAGTAATAATTACAGTTCAATAACTTTATGTCATATAGCCAGAAGTATCCAAAATACCTCACTGTCAATGTATCTTTGGCAAAACTGCTATTTGAACATCACTTACTAGGCATAATATCACAGGTGACAGAATAATGTACCTTAAATAATAAAATGGATGTGAGTGGAGATAGTGAAGTGGCAAGTGTATATAACTTAAACAGATATAATAATAGAAATGGAGTGTTAAGAGGAAATTCAAAACTGTGAATGTACTAGAAAGCAAAATCTGTTGGGTATGATAACAATAAATGTGGTTGTGAAGCAAACATAGAGGGACTCATTACTAAACTATCTGCAGCACTTTAAATAGTGATATGAGGAAGAATTCTTGTAAACCTTATTTACAGTATTTCTACAGGTTACCCAGCCTGGCCAGTAGAAATATGAATTCTGTAATATAAAACTAGACCAAGACAAGATGCAATTAGGCAAAGTGACATCAGTGGGTGATGAGGGAATACAGCAACAAGTAACAAAAAAGGCAATAAAACCGCTTCCCAGAGCAGATCCAGGAACTCTGTTCCACCGGCAGCGTGTGTGACACACTAAATGAGCAGCATCGAAGAGAACAGGAGATTCACATGATGTGCCACCCCTGTGACCATGGTCATTAGCTGTCATAAACATGCTTTCATTTGCTTCTGATATTCTTGCATGACATGAAGCTGCTTGCAGCTTGTGCCCCAGCCCTGCAGATGCTCCTGGCTGTTTAGGGAGTACCAGAACCTGCTGCTGCTAGCATTTTACCCCCTCACATCAGGGACCGTCACCATTCAGGGATCTGTGCATTTACTACAAAGCCTAGGTCTGTGGGAGTTTTAACTTTCATTTGGTATATTCTGATTAAGGATTTTAGAACACAACATGCAAGGAATGTGCCTTGCTCGACTATGGCAAAGACACTCCTGAAAAGAAGCTGCCAGGCATGAGAACACCTTGGAAATGATGTTACCAGGCAGCACTTTCCAAAATCTGCACATGAGCTCTGATGCACACAAAGGATAAATAAATAATACGCACACATAAATTGCTTAGAGAGACATTAAAGGAGACAGAAGATGCTTTGAGTCAGTTATTATGGATAAAATATTTTATAAGTGCTATTTCCATTGTAAGTCAGGTTGCAAATATCACTGTTATGGGAAATTCTGCATCTAAAAAAAATTCTGAGAGGGAGCCTTTATTCAAATCATGTATCTGCATGCAGTTTAGCATTCTTATTTAAATAGCTATCAGACCCAGAGAGTACTCAAGAAAAAAACCTTCATTTTGCAACATGTTCTGCAATATCACCCTCCTGTCCGTCTTCGCAAATTACTAAGAGGTTGTCCAAATCTGAAGAGGAATTCACACAGTGTCTGTTAGTCGCTCCCAAAAAATGAGTCAGTCTTCACTGCTGCCAGCCAGGATCTGACAATGAAGACCTGGCAGAAGGTTTGCATGTGCTGTTACACTGGTGTATTTTGGCTGCTGATTTTACTATAAAGCTGATTTTGTTTTTATATTAGACAGAAAACGGTTCCAAAATACTCCTTGGAACTGTACTGTTTTACTTCAATGCAACCAAGTCTTTTGTTGCTTTTGGGTTTTCAGTGAAGGCTCCAGGCACTGCGGGGATAGTCTTTGCAGGTGCACAGTCCCTGTCTGCAGCAGACTGAAAAAGAGCCAGATACTCTACTGAGGTGTTTTTCCTTGGTATATACCTAATTCAGGAATTGCATTTGGAAGCTTATGAATACCAAGGAGCAGAGAATAATAAACCATTACTGTTGCTTTTTACAGGTCTCCTTCAGTTCTGACAAAAAGCAGCAGGAATGGGTTTTGATGGTTCTGGTGTGGTTTTGAAGTTTCTGATGGGAAATTTTACTGTTCTCTTTGCAGTTCATGGCATTAAGTGGACATGCAGCAATGGCAACAGCAGTTCAGGGTTCTCAGTGGAACAGCTCGTGCAGCAGATCCTCGATAGCCACCAGACCAAGCCCCAGCCTCGGACACACAACTGTCTCTGCACTGGTACCTTGGGTGAGTACCTCGGGAGGGCACAGAACATTGCTCAGCTTCATCCAAACTGGCAGCAGGGTTTGTAGTACTGAGGTGCTAATTCTAATAAATGCCTTCCACATATGACCTGCTCAAAAAGGTATGTTCTTTTCTACATGCTCAAATTCTGTTACCAAAGCCTCAAAATCCAACACTCTTCCAACTTCACCCTCTGAATTCCTTGCCCTGCAGCGCACTTTGTTGAAGAAGTGCTCAGGTAGTTAATTATAAAGTATCACTGGGATAAGACAGGTCTTATTTAGGTATCATGACAATACAGATTTCTTTCCTGTTAACGGAGATTACTTTGTTTTGAATAAGACTACAGCAGCAAGAAACAACATCCTTAGTGTTAGCATTTTATACAGACGGGGGAAGCTAAGTGATTCACTTTTCCAACTCTTCTGCTTTATAGCCACCCCTTTCTACTACTTTGTTCAACTAAAGTATATGACACATTAACTAGTCTTTAGCAAAACTTATAAAGGAAAGCTGTCAGTGCTTCAAAGGATTTATTTTTTCTTCTTTTCTTGAGCAGTTGCATTATACAATCAAGACTTTAATAAGAACGATGACCTCTGAAATACCTGAGTGTGGATTAAAATTCACCCCTTAAGGCTCAGCATTTGATCCAGGCTTGCAGATCTGAACATGAATCCTTTTATGCTTCCCTTTGATGTTTTGTCTTGTGCTAAGTCTTCTCAGTGCTTTTTAACATAACAGTATTGCTTTGTTTTGTAACGGCTTGCACATTGACACACACATTCCCAATTCCTTACTGTCATCCACAAATACAGCAGTGTGAAAGCCTTTTCCTTGTTCCTGTTCATCTCTATACCTAGGAGAATAGAGAGATTTAATACTGCATTTAATCTCAAAAACACTGTCTTGAACTACTTTGTGGCCCCATTCAAATCTTGAGCACATAATAGAGAAGTTCCCCTTCAAGGACAAGGAACAAAAGATTTAGCAAATTGCAGTGGCTACATGGATGCCTTATGTTGCCTAGGCATTTATAACTGTAGCCATTAGCTATAGGGAGGAGGCTTCTTCCCCTCTTTAGTCATTCAACAGTACCATAATTAATGTTCTTACATCATTCTAGGGGAAATTAATCAATTACGGAAAGAAACATCAAAAATTAATGGGCTGCTCTTCTTTAAACAGCAAAAACAGTCCCCACACCAGAGTTTCTGGCTAAGGTGCCTTTGCAGACAGATTTGTTTGCATCATCATGCCTGATTTCCAAGCTCCCAGGAATACAGGTGATGTTACCTTCTGTCAGGCCAGTAAAGGTGATGGCTGGCTTAATTTATGGAGGACTGTCTTCTGGTGACCCTTACTTGAGTATTCTTCAGCAGCTCCAGTGCTGGCCATGTGCTCTGCGTGCACCTCCCAGAGTACAACATGTCTATCTGTCAGCACAGAAACGGCTGAGAGCCAGAGAAACACATCACCATTCTTATGGGAAGGCAAGAATGCTTTGTATGGCTAATGTGCTATTTCTTTAATAATTTGATTGGCAACTGTAATAGACACAATGATGACAGGAAGGTGAGGGCTAATTCTAAGTGGCAGGGTGATGCCAGGGACAGGAGCATGATATGGCGTCTGTCACCTCCAGGTTACCAGTCAGCATCCACCCCACAGGAGCAGTTGTCAAACCTCCCAACATCAGCCAGCATGAAGAGCTGAGCATCTGCGTCATGGGGGCTGAGGTCTTGTCCGTGGGGCAGATGGAACAGGGCCCTGTGCCACAGCTGGCAGCAGCCGCCCTTGCTCTGCAGACTTTGCACTGAGATTGGGCACATCTAAATAACTCTGCGACTTGTCACAGACGCCAGTTCCTCTCCTCCTGACATGTTGCCTGATCAGGGCAGGGAGGAAGGGGACAGGTGCTACATGGGGTGAGGGTAAGGGTGCACATGTGCCTGTTGTAAGATGGCTGTTGTTGCATGCAGTGCATTGGACGGGACCTGTACAACTGGCACTGGTGAGAAATTTATTTTATTTCCAAAGTTGCTTTTGCTGTCTCATACGTGTGCTCACTCTCTCTTGCACACACATGTATAAGTATAGCTCTCCCTTGCTACAACCATGAGATACACAGCTAGCATTGTCCTAATTTTGTATTTACTGAATGGCAAATGTTTTTGTTTTTTGGCACAGGGGCGGGAAGCAGTGTGCATCATAAGTGTAACAGTGCCAAACACCGCATCATATCACCAAAGGTTGAACCAAGGACAGGTGGGTACAGCGCTCATTCAGAGGTACAAAATAATGATGTCTCTGAAGGCAAGAACGAGCACAGTCATGGCAAGGCCTCCAGCCGAGAGAAGAGGAACGGCAAAGTGGCGAAACCAGTGTTGCTCCATCAAAACAGCACTGAGGTTTCTTCCACCAACCAGGTGGAGGTCCCTGACACGACCCAGAACTCTCCTGTGTCCATCAGCAGTGGGTTAAACAGCGACCCAGATATGGCAGATAGCCCAGCTGTCACTGGTGTGTCCAGTATGGCTGTAGCATCAGTTATGGGAAGCTTGTCACAAAGTGCCACCGTATTTATGTCAGAAGTCACCAGTGAAGCTGTGTACACCATGTCACCCACCTCTGGCCCAAATCAACATCTTCTGTCCTCAGATGCAGCTGCACAAGGACTGGTACTTGCTGTGAGTTCAGATGGACACAAATTTGCTTTTCCAACCGGAAGTTCAGAGAGTTTGTCAATGCTACCCAGCACTGTCTCCGAGGAACTTGTGCTCTCCACAACTTTAGAAGGAAATAGAAAAATTCCAGAAACCACCATGAATTTTGACCCAGACTGTTTTCTTAACAATCCCAAGCAAGGGCAGACTTATGGTGGAGGAGGTATGAAAAGTGACAGCATCAATACCAACATAAGGCAGTCACCCACAACAGAGCGTAGCTTCAACTTCAATACAACCCTCACAAAAGAAATTAAAACTGAGGACACATCTTTTGAACAACAGATGTCCAAAGAAGCATTTTCTTCCACTTCTGCATCTAACACTCTCACCCTCAGTACTGGTTCAGGTTTGCTTCCATCTGGAGGAGGTCTGAGCCCAAGTACCACCCTGGAGCAGATGGACTTCAGTGCCATTGACTCCAACAAGGACTATTCTTCCAGCTTCAATCAGACCGTCCAGAGCCCTCATGTTCATCAGACCCCTTCCCCCAGCTTCTTTCTGCAGGATGCCAGCAAACCTCTTCCCCTTGAGCAAAACACTCACAACAATTTGAATGACACAAGTAGCTCATTTGTGAACACCTTAGGAATCCCCAGTGTGAAAACAGAGTCCTCCTCCCAAACCACTTCCAACTGTAATGGCACGGTGGAAGCCAGAATAGAGTCCACCTCTTCTCTCCAGCTCATGCAGTTCCAAGCAAACTTCCAGGCTATGACTGCAGAAGCTGAAGTTCCCATGGAGACCTCCCAGCAGGCAGAAGGAAGTGAAAATCTACTTAAATCAGAGGATCTTCAAGCCTGCAACACAGAACACTACTTGCAGCCCGAGTCCAATGGGGGTATCAGGAATGGGAACAATCTCCCTATTCTCCAAGGAAACATGGTACAAGGACTCTATCCCGTGGCCCATCCCAGCTTAAATAACTCCTCCAACATGGAACTTAACTTGGACCACTTTGACATTTCCTTCAGCAATCAGTTTTCTGATCTAATTAATGATTTCATATCAGTAGAAGGTGGGAGCAATGCTCTCTATGGACACCAGCTGGTGTCAGGTGACAGTGCCGGACTGTCTCAGCCTGAAGACAGTAACAGAGCGACATACAACCAGGCCCAAATGTGCATTCCTTGCTGCAGTCCTCAGCAGGCCAACATGCAGCTCAGCAGCACGGAGAATGGAGCCAGCACCATGGCGTACATGCACGTGGCTGAGGTGGTCTCAGCAGCTGCGGCACAAGGCACTTTGGGGTTGCTGCAGCAGAGTGGGCGCTTGTTCATGGTGACAGATTATTCACCAGAATGGTCTTACCCTGAGGTAAGTCCAGGGCTTTTACTTGGTAATGTTTACTGCTTTATCTTTCTTTGCCTTGTTAATAAGGGCTCACAAGAACTGTTTTGTTAAAGCTTTTACAAGGCTTTTAAAATATTTCTCTTCCAAGTTGGAGCATCCAAGGCCTTTTGCTTGTCTGAGTATACTTTTAATTAAGCCTTTCGTTACCCTGACAGGGCCCTTTCTTCACTTAGGAAGCATCTGAACAGAAACGTAATGTTTCATTGAAAGCAAAGTCTTTCCCATGTAATGGATTCGTGGTGCTACCTAGCCATGTTAGAGCAACAGCGTTTGCAAATGTTTCTGATGTTCTTAGTAGAATAATTCCAGACCTGCACTGCCTTAATGAGTTGAGCATTTCCCTCCATCTCACTGACTCTCCAAAATCAGTCGCATGTCCTGCAAGTTGAAAATGGCAGCAGCACAGGCTTTGCTGATGTGAAGGAATGCGGGAGGAAAGAGGCTGTTTGAGCCACTAGTGGGAGAGGAAGGTTGTTTTGAATAAAAAAAAATCGTTTGTGTTTTTATGAGCCCGGCCTCGGAGCAGTGTTGTGTCTGTGTGCTATCCGAGGTGTGTAACGCCTGTTCCCGCTGAGCAGCGCTGTCCGGTTGCCAGTGGGATGCGGCCCCGTGAGGGTGCTGGGGCTGCGCCCCGACATTCCCGGCCTTTGCCGAGCGGCGTTCGCTGCGGGCAGGGCGAGCTCGGTGCTGGGAGCAGCCGCGGCGGGCCGGGACCGGCACCGGGCGGCCTCGGTGTCCCGGCTCTGGCGCTGCCGGCGGCGGCCGCCCGAGGGCAGCACGGCCGCGGGGAAGGGGCGGCGGGGCCGGGTCAGCTCCGGGAGCCCTCGGGGGGCCGAGCGCCATCCGGCCGTGCTCTGCTCTGCCATGGCCTCTCCTGTCATGCCTGGGTTTCTCCCTTTTTTTCCTCACAGGGAGGAGTAAAAGTCCTGATTACCGGCCCGTGGCAGGAAGCCAGCAATAATTACAGCTGTCTGTTCGATCAGATCTCAGTGCCTGCATCTTTAATTCAGCCAGGGGTACTGCGCTGCTACTGCCCAGGTAAGGAGCACTGCTCTCCTACAGCGGGTGTTTTCAGAGCCTGTTCGTGCCATGTACATGTCCTGACCCACTGTGAAAGGCAGTGCACAGGCATCAAGAAGCTTTTCCTTTTTCTTTGACCTAGACAGTGTGAGAAGACCAATTTGACATCTTGATGCATCACAACAGATCACAACAAATACTGTTTAGAATCTCTGAATTAACTTTAAAATAATTATTTGAAGTAATTTAAACTAATGCTAAGCATTCCTTTAGTTTTGAAATAGCAGATTAAAGACTGTTATTTAGGGGTGCACTCACTGCTCTGCTGACTCAGTTTGCCTACATTTTACCCTTTGTCCTTGTTAGAGGACGAGACTATCTCCAGCCCCCCTACAGAGATTTTCAGTAGTGCTAGCCCTCAGTATGTGACTTTTAAGTGGATGCAGAATAACTTGGCTTCATTGCTAGGCCTCGGCTTCCCACTGGAAATGCAGTGAGGCTGGTTAATCTTTGGAAACACATGATTCTGCCTCCTGCCAAAACAACCCATTAGGTGACTCTTGAGCTTAAAACCCCCGTGTTTGAAAATACAGATTGGATTTTGGACTCTTCAGTTATCTAGTCCCAAAAATACTGTCAAATGCCCCCTCTATTCACTTGCTCTCAGCCCAGTGAGCACATGGGGATATCCACAGGATAATTCCTCGCCGTGGGTTTCTGCGTGGAGTCCTGTCTTACCACATGCACTTTCCTTTTAGCTCATGACACTGGGCTCGTGACTTTGCAAGTTGCCTTCAACAATCAGATCATCTCCAATTCTGTGGTGTTTGAATATAAAGCCAGAGCTCTGCCAACCCTGCCTTCCTCCCAGCATGACTGGCTGTCCTTGGACGGTAAGAAGAGTGTGATATTCTTTAAGAAAGCTTACCAAATGTAGGACTGGGAGCAGCTCCTGGATTTGTCTTTCCTGAGAACTCTAAAACTTGAGCTTGTCTAGAAAACTGTGTATTTATTAAGCAGAAAGTGGGGGGATACTGAGATGTACAAGAGGGACATTCTAAGGAAGTTGGGGTGGTCCCGCCTCCAAAGAGTTGCATGGAGACAGAGCACTGTGGTATTGCAGAGTAAAGAGAGGTTCGTGACATGACTGTAGAGGAACACTTGCGAACAGAAATGGAAATGGCTCTTAATGAGCAAATACACACAGTCTTATGTTCAGCATCAAAATCGAGTTTGCTTGACTTCAGAGTATTGTAAGAGTCTGCAGGTGTTTTTCATCTGCCACCGAGGCCTCTGCTGCCTGTGGTGTACAGCAGACACTGTTTGATGTGATTGATACTCAGCTGTTAGCAATCTCTCCGGTGTAGCATGCTACATGGGTAGGTTTCAAACCCCTTGTTTGACAGTTCCCTCAGTGCTGATGAATTCAGAGGAGCTGAGAAGGTGGCTGTGAGTGCTGTCTCTGGTGCCCCTGCAGTTTGTCTGGGAGCTCTTGGTTAGCGGGCCAGCTCCCAATTAGAGATTGTTGTGCTGTGGTGATGGTGAAAGGGAGGGGGACTGCAGCAGTGAACAAACTAGGGCATTGCTAACAGGGAGGGGGAAAAAAAAAGTAAGAGGACCACTGCATTGCAGAGGCCCTTCAGGGAATAAGACTGAATAATTATACAAACCATGACTTATTGAAGCCTCTGCCTTGATGCACAATGCTCCAAAGGGAGCAAATTACACTCTTATTTAAAGGACCAGCAACACCTATCCATTTGTTGTTAGAGAACAAATGTTAGCTCAGCTAGCTAAGGTATAAGCTAATGTGAGTTGATTCTATCAATTGAATAAATACACAAATCCCTGTCTTCTCTGTTTGCTTTAATTTCCCTGCTTAAAATCCTTGTCCTACTGCCTGTTATGTAATCTTGAGGGAAGATTTTCAAGGAATATTTGTAGTCACAAAATATTGACAGGAATTTTAAAATTCTTTGAATTAACTCAGTGGAACACTCTGGGTTCCTTTGCACTGCATTGTTAAAATACAGTTCATGATTCCAGCTGGCAGTGTTAACAGTCATACCTCAGGAATAGCATAGGAAAAGAACAAGCAATTTCCATCTCACCTAAGTCTAAATAAACAATTCTCTTCCACAAATCTCTTTATTTTAAGGTCAAAGATATCCTGTATGTGAACTCTATGTTTTCACTTACATTAAGACAAAAATTGGTTTTTTTTTGAGCACTGTACAAGTACTGGCCTTTGGGATCAGGGAGCAGTCCTGCAAATGACTGGGAAGTGTTGTGAGACCATCTTCCTCCATGCTGGTGCTTCTAGGACTGTATCGAGCCAAGTACAGGAATGCACAGAGAAGGATTTTGAAGGTGGCAGCATGTCTGGTGCCATCCTCTGAAGGGCTCCTTCCTCTGTCCATGTCTGCTGTGCCGTGAAGGATAGTGCACCCTGTTCTGGCCTATACACAGACATGCTTGTTTTATTCTGAGTTTTCCTTATTTTACTCCATGGATGAGTTAGATCTTTTACAAATGGGCACTTGACAACAGCTGCTGATGTTCTTGCATTTTTTTTCTAGTTAACTGGAATAGTGGTGTTCTTTTCAAAGCAAGCCTTCCTCCTCGTAAAGGAAGCACTCCCATGTGATCCTGATCTCCACTCATAAACTTGGCAGCCTTTTCTTTTTTCTGTGTAGAACTGTCAGTTTTCTGAAGCCATCATGTGCTTCTATAGCCATTTGACCTCACTTTTCATTCATTGTCTGTAGAGAGATTCTTTTAAGAAAGAAAAACAGAAAAGCAAATGAGGCCCCTTATGAACCGAAGGGCAGAGATCTTCTTATGGCAGGTGCATAACAAATTATAAAGGCATTTCAGTGCAGATTCACAGTGGAAAGCACGTATGTTTGCCCTCCGCTGAAGTCTTTGCTGCTTTTCATAAAGTGTCTGAAGAGATGGTGTTTCCTTGGTATAGGATGTGATCAGAAATTCCAGGGAAATGGGTATGGGTGCTCTTGGCGTTACATTTACGCATCTGCAGGAAAGAGGACAGAACTTAAAAATAGGGGCAGACCATGTGTGTATTGATGAGTCAAGTGTGTATGGCATGGACAAAGGTGTGACTGGTACTGAATGTAAATGGCACCGATGCAGGAGCACTTGACAGGCAGCCTTTCAGCTACTGCTGGGTTCTCTATTTATGATCTGGCTAACTTTCCCAGCTGGAAAACATAAAAAAGACCGAGGGGAGTTGGTGGCTCACTCATGTTAGCGTGACATGGCCATACCTGTGGTATCCAAACTCTCACTTCGGCATGCAGGAGGTGGATGGAATCACACGCACTCACGTTATCGGTGACCATACAGTGTGCGTGTGCTACCTGTGGCATTCCACAGTTTGACAGGTTCATGATTTCTGTAAGGTGGTGGTAAGCATGCAAGGTGGTAGATGTTCATCACCAAAAACCATGGCATGTGCCTATTTAGCAGGACGAGATGCCCTGCTTAGCATGCAGATGTGATGAGATGCAAGACAACAGTCATGTAGGAGAGATGTGTTCAGTATCACCGAGGTCTTTAGAAATGTTTTGCAGCCGTAAGAGACTTTTGGTAGAAAAAAAGTTCATGTTCGTAAACAGTCTCACTGTTCTTCACTCATCTTTCCATCTGGGTGGAGGTGACTGGATGTTTAACTTTACATCTTGGATTCTACCATAAAAAAATTATCTATTTGGGTTCTCTTTGGGAAGAGGAATAAATGTTTTGTACTGTGTTACAGGGCTGCCATGCAGCTCACTGGGACATGTGAGCATTGATAGAGGACTATGATACCTTGCTCCTTCCTAGTGACTACACAGTAAACAAGTCTCTAGTCATCCTCCTCTATCCTGACTCCTCTGCAGCATGGAGGCTTTGTCTGTTCTGTATATATTCCTGCTGAGATTTCTTGGGTGGCTTTTTTCCTTTCACACACCATTGTCAAGGACACTATTTCAGGAAGCCAGTCTCCTACTGCTCTGACTGCATTTCCCAGACTGCCCTTTTCCATTTTGGCCGTAATGTGAGTGACTTGATGCGAGGAGCATTCAGTTTTCTGTGCTGAGTGTTGTCTTCTGAGCCAGCCTGATTTCATGGTCAGACATCTGATTCCTCTGGGATGTCAGTGTTTGTTCTCAGGCCGATGACTGAACATGCCCTGCTGCCCCGGGGAGTCAGCCGTGGGGCTCGCGGCTCCTCTGTGGATCGTGGGACTGCACATTCTCCGGAATTCTGTGTCAGGTTTTAACGCTCTGCAAATTTGCCTTATTAGAGCAGTTGGTAAAAGTACAAATATTGCGTGTGTAGCGAGGTGAGGAGAACTGTGCGTACGAGCCTGGCTGCGGGAAGGTGACCGCAGGTATGTCGCGCCCCGGGCCCGACTCGCTGCCGCAGGCCGTGTTCCCGCACGCTTTGGGCGGCTCCGCGGGCGGCGGGAGCAGCGGCGGGAGCAGCGGGAGCGGCAGAAGCAGAGGGAGCAGCGGCAGAAGCAGCGGCAGAAGCAGAGGGAGCAGCGGGCGGGAGCAGCAGAGGCAGCTGAGGGAGCAGCGGGCGGGCGGGCGCTGCCGCCGCGCTGTAAACACGGCGTTGGCCGCCAATGGGGGCCGGTGACGTCAGGGCGGGGCGGGCCCGGCGGCGGGCGCGGAGCGGAGCGGGGCAGGGCCCGGCGGCCGCGCCGCGCAGACAATGGGAGGTGGCGGCGGCCGGTGCTCGCCCGCAGCCGCTCCGGGCCGCCGCTGAGCGCGGGGCGGGGAGCCCATCGGACGGGGCTGGCATCCCGCTATGAGGGGAGCGGGGGGCCCCGGCGTGGGCTGAGGGTGGCGGTGGGACCCCGCGCCCCTGCTCCCCGCCCGGGCAGCCCGAGCCGGAGCGCTCCGCGGCGCGGTCTCGGGGCTCCGCCACCCCCGCAGAGTGCCCGGGCGCCCCGGGGCGGGTACCGGCTCTCGGGGACTTGCGGGTGCGAGAGGGTGTCTGGCGCGGCGATGGGCCCGTGGGCGCGCCCGGGGTGACCGGGGCGGCCTCCGTCTCCCAGCCCCTGCCTGACGCGCTGCCCGGGACGCCGCTGCCCTCTGGCCGCCGCCCCCGCGGTTCTTGTCGCGGGCTCCGGCGCACGGCGGGGCGGGAGGCAGCCGTGGACCGGCAGCGAGCCGCCCGAGGCTCTGAGGCGGCGCTGGCCCCGGGGCGGGCGCGGGGCGGCGGGCGCGGGGCGAGGAGTGGCCCTGTCCCCGCATGCCGGCCCGTGCCCCCCGGAGTCGGCTGCCGACCCCGGCCCCGCGGCTCCAGTTCTCGGGCGGCCGTGCTCGCCGCCATGCCCCCGGCCGCTGAACGGCGCCCGGCATCGTCCTCCGGCGGGGCCGCCCCGAGCCCCGGCCTGAGCCATGCCGGCCAGCGCTAGCCCGCCCGCTGCGGCCGCCGGGGCGCGGGGGGGGCACCGCTGAGACCCGCCGGCGCTGCGGCAGCACGGCGGAGCTCCAGCTGGCTGCGAGGATGCGAAAGACGACAACCAGGTCTGGGGGGAGCCTGCTCTGCCCGCCTCTGCTGAGAGGGCTGCGCCAGATGCTGGCTGGAGCCTCCGCTGATGCCTTGTAGACTCCCAGGTCAGTCCTCTGGTGCCAGGTGTTGTCATATTATTTACCTGGAAGCAGGTAGAGGGACTACAGAGGGGTCTGAGACCCCCAGCTTTTTGCAGGTGGATGTGCAGATGTGACAAGGTACTGCTTCCAGTAAGTATTAGAGGATAAATGTGTCATGCAGTGCTTGTTTGGGTTTAAATCTGCATGCTTCTGTGTTGTCCCTTACTCTGCTGCACTTCCAGTGTAACTGCACGCCTTGCTGCTCGCTGTTCCCCCCCTTTCCT